TCTTGGACCTCCTGGACACGGGCAGTGGGAATAAGGCCGCCTTGAGGCGGAAGATTATCAGCGCGGGTTCACTCAGTTTAGGCTCATTCCCTTTTTCGGTTTTGACGGTAATGGAGTAAAAGCCGTAGCCTAATGATTCTTTTGCGATCTGCAAGGATTGGGAGAGATTCCTCGTTTACTACCAAAGTAATGTAATGCTGCTGCTCCCTAAGCTTGCTGCTTTTACTACTTTGCAATCAAAGGCTGGTTGCGCGTCGTTGGAGATCTAGATGATTTTCAAGATCCCCTAAGGACTCGAGGGTTCCTCTGGAACCCAAGCTCTGGCTCGTGGCTTGCAAGGGATTCCACTCCTATGCACTGCCAATAAGTCAGCGCCGGGTCACAGCTCCCCGAGAGAGATAATGGCTTCCTTATAAAGGCGCGCCGACCTTTTGCCTAAAAAAATGCTCCAAATTTCTCCAAACAGAGAACAATATTTCAGTATTGTATACACTCTTTACAACTTGATAAAAGTCAAATCAGCTGCTTAAAGCTGCATTTTTGACTGCTTCAGGACTTTAAATGTCCTTATAGCCTCAAAAACTTCGTGCAATCTCTATAAAGATTACCATGCACCATTTCCAAACGATTTGACAAGAATCGGTTTTCAGGTGTTTCCGACGACGTTAATTACAAATCCATAGTCAGATTAAAGAAATTCAAGATGGTGAATACAAAATTGTGAACAAAATGCATATAGCCCTTTTTGGAAATCTTGGGCAGCCATTTTTTCGGCCTTTTTTTCTAAGTTTCTTATCACATGGTCCGTGAACTTTCATTCTACCAATTTTCAGCTTTTTTGGGCTAACCGTTTGCGAGATTTTGAATTTTTTCCGCTTTTCCTTGATTTGGATCCACTTTGCGGCCCTTTTATCTCGCTTCGCTCTGACTGCTGCTCGGACTGCTTTTTTGGTCCCTGAGCCACAAGGACGTGGAACGCTTTTGCGTACAGGCAGTCGACTGTGTACCCGTAAAAGGCTTGTGGTCGATAATGTTGCAGGTGCAGAATCTCTGAGTACCAGTATCGCTTCCACCCGGATTCGCTTTACACAAGGTACTTTCGACAAATAAATTTTTAATTTTAACCTGACTTTTACCACCCTTTCCCATTTTCATGAGTATAACCTGAGATTTATAGAACGGTTCGAACAATAGTTTAAAACACTAGGTAGCAGCACCATTATTTTTAATATCTGTAAATTTCATAGATCTCTGTCATTAATCTACTTTATCCTCAGTTTCGCCGGAAAAAAAAATGCACCCGAAAATTTTTATTCCGCCCATGGTGAAAAGTGAACCGGTTCGGGAAAAATGAATTTCATGATAAGGCTGATTATGTTAATGTATTAGTCCTGTCACCAGTAACTAATAAGGAAATAGCTATAAATTCGTTGGGCCAAATTCGAAATTAGTATCTAAACTTGTAAAATATTGAAATATTGTTATATTTCTTCGAATGTGTGCATGTACCTAAATTGCTTAAATAGGTTCGTTAGATACAATTGTCTTGCTGGGATTACATACAACGATCAGAGAACTTGTCACAAACTCTTTTGTAATTTGATCCATGATTCAATTATTAAAGGTTTTGTAAGTAGCTTTTTTCTAAAATTTGGCACTCCCACCCACAGGGATGGTTTTTGGAAGCAGAAGAAAAAGGGGAAGAATTCAATCACACTTCCTAAAATGGGAGCTAAATTCTATAAAAACGTGTGGATAATAGTGAATGGTGGTATTTTAAAACAAAAACGAATTTGATTTAATTATTTAATTTAAACAAGCTTATTTACATCGAATATAACCCCCTATTGTTATTAAAAATAAATATTTCTATGTTTATACCAAACTTGCGTACGTCAGATGGCGCATAACTCGAGAATGGACGGTCCACTTTCAGCTTTTTTTTTGTTGTATTTGTTTGCCAGTTGATGGACATGAAGAAGCTATTTGTTTGCGGAAAATATGCAATATTTATTAAACAAAAAAACGGCAAATAAAAAAATTTGGAGCTTACGTTTCTTTCGCGGTTATGGCTCGATTGTTTCGAATTCTTTGATGTCGCACTTTTTATGTTCTGGGGAAAATATTCAACACTGGCTTGCACAGCCGCAGTTGGCGATTGGTGCCGGACGAACTCAGAGCACGCAGCTACTGAACGACTGAGATAGGGAACGTGATCTACATCGTCAAATGAGAAGTGGCGTAATGGGGCTTTCGCACGAGGCGATTTTTCAGGCAACTTTTGCGTTCAACTCCCGCCGGGTTGCACGAAAAAAAATTTGAATGACTAAAAATATCAAAATATAAAAAAATATTAAAATATTCGCCATAAAAAGGCGTTTGTATTGTTCAACTTTGCATTCTACTTTCAGCTAATCGCTTTCAATAAAGTTGGTCGCCAGCCAACATTCGCCTCGTGCGTACACCTTTTAAGTGTGCAATTACATCGCGCCATTGACTAAACCGAGCTGTCGTGTGACGATTGGGCCTATGGATGCGGTTTGGCAATGTTATATTGCGTCAAAATCTCATTCGGAGACACCAGGATTGTGTCGTGGAGTACAATACCTAAATACCTTCGTTGGCTCATTGAACGCTTTACTTTACAGCGACTTGGCAGAATCAAGAGGTCTCCACGAATATCGACAAATACATTTCGGCATTTAAGGGAATTTTTTTTTTTTTTGAATCATGAATTTGATCAACCCAAAAGTCAAAAAACGAAACTTCAACAAATTTATTTCATTTACAGATTTTTTTGTTTAAAACATCGCGAGTCTAATTAAATTGGCAACAAGCCGGACTAGATTGGCCCGCAACACAAGTGTGTGGTATGTATTGATTGCCTTTTGTCACAATCTTTTGAATTTAATTTTCCTTTCAGATTTCACAGTTCACATTTGCATCTTTAGCTTGCAGTTTCCCGAAACGCACAGCAAGTGATGTCGTCCACTTTGAACAAGCAAAAAATGAAGCCTCCATGTAAGCTGCCACCGCAGCTTTTTCACAACCATCGTCAAATGGCGCTACGGAATGTAACTGTTGCAGTCGCATCTGCCTTATTTGTCGCGTTCACATTCAATTTGCTGCACAACAAGCCGAAAAAAAAGAAGTATCGCAATTTTTATAGGTTAGCAGAGCCAGTGTTTTCGAAAATTTTGCATTTAAATATTTGGTAAATAATAGTTCGTTTTTCTATATTTTGGTCATTTAAGCAACTATGATGCAGAGAAGTCCTTCATGCGTATGGCAGAAGGCGGCTACCTTCACTCATGTCCGCCTTGTTCGTTAAAGAGTGGTGAAGATGACGACGATGATGGCAAACAGAAGAAGAAAAAGTAGTTTGGAAATTTGGCTGAAGCTTTTTATTGGAATGCAATAAAGGAACAAAAGACATTGTTTTTATTAAAAGCAGTTTGGATGTTTTTATTTGAGGTTTATTTAAAAATTTTATGTGATGCTAGGCTGAGCTAGCTGCTGGCGACTTCAACGGCTCTGAACCATTTTGCAAAAATAATTCTTTTATAGAAACAAAAGTGTATATAAATTTAAAGAATGAGAAACAGTGGGCTGTTTAAAAAAATACCACCATTTGCTTTTTGAATCGATCTAGAAAGCGTTGGCATTAATCCTTCGGCAGTACAGAAAAAATATCCAACAGAATCAACTATAAAACCCACAGTGCATAAAACCATGATAAAAAAAGAAGCTAGTTTCATTTCATGATTCAATAATAATAATAATAATAATCACGAATCATGGTTTCATTTCAAAATTTTTGACAAAAAAATAAATATTTTAAGTTTCATAAATTTTACAAAATTGTGAGCTACCTTGCCATATTTATAGCAATCAAACAATACATCAGAGGATTTAATTTTAAGCGTGGGAAATGTTCGGTTATTTGTACAATGATGTTTTGTTGGAGAGCGAAGGGAGAAGGGGTGTGTCACCTAAAACTACACTCATTAAAATGGCCGTGGTATAAAATTTAAGAAAAGCCACCCTTCTCCTCCCTGCCCCCCATCTACAGCCATTCGATGGGCCATTTCAAAATGGGTGAAATTAGCATTTTCGCAAAGAAAAATTAATCTCATGTTAGGCCATCCACAGTATTTTTGCGCAAAAGCCACCTCAAAAATTACAAAAAAATTGCATATTTCAAACCGAAATCTATATTTTAAATCATTTATCAGAAAATTCCGAGAACCGGAAAATTGGTACTGCTACAAGTTGCAGGGCATCATTTTAACTCGACCTCCTCCCTCTCACACGAATAACGTTACATCGTTTAAAAACTAACAGCTTCAAATGTCAATAAGATTCAATCAAAAAGTGGACTGGACTAAAGGAATCGGGATTTTTCAGAAGTGAATGCAGTGTACGAAATTGTATAAAGTAAATGCCAAAAACACGTTGACATTTATTGAACAAATAAATACAAATTCTGCACGAACAAACACACACCCACATGCTTATGCTTGAAAGCGCACAACCAAGCAGCACAAAGGAGCTTGAGGAACAAGTTGCGTGGCACACATATGTATATACTAGGGTATTCAATCCCGGACATTTTTTCTATGTCCCGAAATCCCGGGATTACAGCTCCGGTATCCCGAGATTTTTATTTGAGTCATTTACGGAATAAAAAAGATGTCGAAAACGAAAAAATTAATTGATTTGACATGAAAAAAGAGATATACAGACCACCAAAATTTTTATTCACAGTGAACTTGAGCCATTTGCACTCGGGCGTAAATTTCAGAATCTGCCTAAATAACTGTACTTGTTCAAACATTTTGTACAAGAACCTTGAAAAAACCATCAATCTGGTAGCAATTGAAAACACATTGTGGAAAGTGAATTTCTGAAAAAATTAGTAAGCGGCTTTTACAATATTATATAGATATTTAGGAATACTATAAAAATATTTAGACATTAAATTACAGACTCTTTTACTAAGGTGCGTTATGCCAAAGTTGAAATCCCGAAAAATGCCGGGATCTCGGGATTAGAATTTTTTGCATCCCGAAATCCCGTGATTGTTAAAATGCTTCGGGATTGAATGCCCTAGTATATACATAGCAAAATCAATTCACATATTCTCTAAAGAAGCGACAAAAGCAAGAGAAATAAATTTAAACATTTCTATAGAAACTGTGCTATATTCTAGTTACGGCAAAAAGTTTTCACCAAAAAAAAGGGGGAAAAACAGCTGTTAAAATGTGTAAGCAGCAATTGCTGAAGTAGTATTAAATACTTCGGAAAATACGTAGTACATACGTCCATACTTAGCTACATTAAAAAGTATATTTTTGTAGCTAACTGACTGTCGCATTGACATTCCAAAGCGGCTTAACTTAAACCGCACTGCATGGACGAGGCGTTGGTTGACATTTTGTCAATTGCTATATACTTATTTATATCTTTATTCCCACAGTTGGTTGCCACCGCATCAGAAGTAACGTAGGTAACAACTTCCTAGAGAGAGATGGATAGTACTGGTTGATGCTGGTTGCCTGATTGATTTGAAAAAAAAAAAAAATAACTTCTGCAATGCACAAAATGCATTTGTGGTAAAGGTG